AAATAGTTGTTCACGATTTTTCAAACATATAGGAAGTTACTTGAATGATTACATTAACCGTGGCCAATGTGATATGGGATGGTTTCAAGCTTGACAGATAGTAACCAATACATGACAGGTTTTTCTAGCGCCCGCCTTTTAAAATATGTATATTTTTCATGGTTTCATCCGGAAACAGGATGCTAACTGTAAACACCACGGAACCTCATTCATTAGAACCCCCGGCGATGTAACGAGCCTCCATGTAACGAAGTTCTCCGTATAACGACCTGCCCGGCTTTGTAAGTCCTAACTTTTTCTCTATCTCTAACCTGAGCACTCTTGCTTTGACCACGAAATAGCTCTTGGATATCGTTACTGTAAGTGAGAAAACCATGCAATGGTATAATCAGACTAGACAAGTAGTGTTATTATGGGTACTGAAATTTCAATTCCTTTATCATAATCTTTTGTTTCTTACACTTAAAAGCATTCACATGGCCATATTCAGAAAGAACGCTAGACACTAGCGATAGACAAGATTTTAATGTGTGTAAAATCAGGGGCACCCAGCGACTAAATGTTTCCAAATACTGTACGTCAGTAGTGTCTCAAATAGTTTTATCTAAGCTTTAGAAGGCTGTTTGATTAATTTGGAATTGCCCTAAAATCTATTTATCTGTTAGCTTCTCACAGTGATGGTTCAGGTCGAAAGTATGAGAAAATCGACTAACCGTACTTTCACTTGAAACTTCTAAGGGACGTTTTGTCTTTTTTACGCGATATTTTCAGGAGGCCTTTTTAACCAATAGTTGCAAGATGTCTTGGTAATAAAATGTCCCAATTGAAAACACAACCTCCGAAAATCGTAGATTTTAGTAGAAAAATTCCGAATATCTTAGACGACTGCAACGTTTATGCATAAATTGTCAGTCTTTCTCGAGCTTTACAAATTTCTTGCTCCTTCGAACAGTTATTTTACAGAAAAAAGTCGTTGGGTGCCCCTATGAAATGAATGACGATATACCGGTACACCCTGAACTCTACATAAGTTAGCAATAGTTATTTTTCGATATTTTGAGCACAATGGACAATTAAGCCATCAATAATAATCACTAATTATTCAACCCCTCTCAAACCCATTGAAGACCTTATGGCTGATTTCCTGTTTTCCAGTCTATAAACAAAATCCTTCAATAATTTGGACTTCTCCACCAAATTCTCTTCAGCATTAATTAAACCGATTCTAGGCTCATTGCTAATCGAATTTTACTTAAATTCTTGGCTCCCGTTATTGCAATAATCTTAGCGTCAGTCTTCTTTACCTTTCATCCAAATCATGTTGCTATGATTCTGTACTACCGCATGAGAATAAGGGCATTAACGAAAGAGCGTTTTGATTCAGTCCTAATGAAGAAGTATATGATTTGAGATATTACTGATAAAAACTTCAATGTTTTATAGGGCTCATTTCATAAGCAATATTAATGTTTTAACACAGTAGAACTGTCTACAAGAGCATAATGACACCTTCAGTTAATATTCACTGCCTCGACTCTATCACAGCACATGCTTGGAACGAAAAAAAAATCTGTTTGTTTGATGACTCTGGTGCGTTTATTATTGGTTGATGAATAGCTTTCAGGCGTGGTTTATCAATTTGCTCAATATTAAACATGTTGTACATGCAGTACGTTTGCAAACTTAGACCAATTAAAAATTATATGAGACAGTCAAGCAGCCATCATTGTTGTGATACTTATCTCCCTCAGAGATCATAGTGATTTTATTTTTGAAAGGAAAAGAAAAAAAGAAAAGAAATGTAACCTAATTAGCACAGGATAAGGTTGCTTCGGCTAACTCTCAGTGACAATTTTCGACAGAAAATGACAAATACTATTTTGTTTCCAAGGAAAATCGGCCAAGAAAGTTTAGCTTCGCTACACTGGGACTCAGCGTATTGATCCTAATATTTTTGGCTTGAACAATGTCCAAGCAGGCATTTGAAGACATCGAACTTTGAAGAAAAATATCGTCCGGCTAGCTTTCAACTCTTTGATCTGTGGTTGGAATTCTCGGTGGTGTGACAACGTACTCATCAAGATCAGTGAAACCTGTTTAGTATTATTTAAATAATATTGTTTGTTTTTGGTCCCTTTTTACAGTGCTTGGGAAACTTTTGATGATTATTTGGTTATTTTAGATACGCTGAAGTTCGAAGTGGATTGGTAAAAACATAAACATAAAACTCTAACCCTCCTATACAGTTCCATTTCTTCCCAGAGCCTGTGGTTCTAACTATAACTTTTGATTCTGTGGTCGATATTTATCGGTGTGTCCATTCAAATAAAATCTATTTTGCAGTACTTACAATGGCACTTAACTTGTTTTTCAGTATTTTCCAAAATGGAATTTGAAAGTTTTACTGAATTGTGACTTTGGCCTTTTGGGGCATGAAAGGTGAATGTACTTGACGAGTGGTCCTGATAAGCTACAACCCAGTGCATGCCCATCTTGATTACTTCAAGAAGCAGTTGTAAGAAAGCCTGCTAATTGCAAAGAGTTAAGCCTAGAATTTTTAGAATGCCTCAAAAACATAATTCAAGACAAGTCTGAAGGGATAGTGGCTCATTAAACTCAACTAGTGCGGAAGAGCTTTATGAACGTTCAAACGGCAGCCGATGATGTGCCGAAGGACAGAGCCATTGCTTCGAAATCACAATTCCAAAAAATTGCTTTTAAATATGGAAATTTTTAAATCCGAAAAAGGATGATTCATGATTTAAGAGGTAAGACCACAATTTGTTTCTATAGACTTACAAGTTAGAACTACGTAAAGTAAGTCTTTTTGGCGTCTAGGCCACAAACAATCCAGCAGATGGACAACCTAGCTTGCCACTTGTATAGCCGAAATGTAACGTACAAAGAAATAGCCTGCTCTTTACCTGATTAATTTTGTTGGAAACTGGCGACAGAGCTTTTTAAAAAGCATGTGCTAAATAAAGGCACGAAGTAGATCAGTTTGGAGATGAATAATACTCTGCATTTAAACCTCCTCAATTAGCAACACAGTATCTCTGAAGACATACGACATTTCCTTCTTGGGAGTCACAGTATGAAGGAACCACTCAAAAGAAATTCCTTTGGCAGTATTTAACTGTTCTCTGGCTCATAAAACTTTTACCCGACAACATGCAATCAGGCGCAAGATTTAAATGCATCAGTTCTCTTGAATTCCTTTTTTGCAACATCATCATGCTTCTGGGACTGTGTCAATGGATTCTAATGTCATTAACTAGAGAGCTTTGCGTTGTTTCAAAGGGAGGTTATCCATTTGCAACTATGAAACCTATAATGTCTTAATGAAGAAGCATTTGATTCTGGATACAACGGGATTTTCAAAGTTGTGTTGAAGCTTAGTTAATGAATAGTGTTGTTTGTACATGTAAATAGAAATCAGTCCGCACTATGTATAATGACACCTCAGTTAGTTCATATTCCGGTTGCTTGAACTTGATCACAGCACATATTTCGTGTGACTAAATTAGGTTTGTTTGGAGACAATGACCCTCAAGTTTTCTATGCGTTCGTCTGTTAATGAACTGATGGCTTTCGTGGTTTTGTTTATTTGCAGCACTTTATTTCACGGCTCTAAGTTTGCTGAATTCCTGAGCTAGCTATGAACTGTCGGACGCATCCATCATTATTTTCATTTGTGGGCTTACATATCCCTCAGAGTTTTCAAGGATTTTATTTAAGCAAGGAACATTCATAACGTAAAACAAGGTTCAAGTGTCTTCAATTTTCGAGAGACTGAGAAATGCTATTTTATACTTCCAAGAAAAATTCAACAATAAACTGATAACTGAGCTTTCTTTCCTGTGGATCGCGATCGTTGCCACTGAAACTCAAATAATTTGTGAAAAGTTACTCAGTTTGTTCCCTAACAATTTTGGCTTGGTTTCTGTCCAGTTAAGAATCTAAAAACATCGAAACATCTTAACATGTGGTCTAAAATAGCCTAGTCAGTTTTAAAAGGCGTGTATTGTCCCGTTCCAACTTTTGAGTCTGTGGGTGATTTCTTATTGTTTGCATACAATATTGTCAGTTTACAAAGTTCAGTTTGCGATTTTCTTGATGATTATTTGCTTATTTTTCATACAATTGGAAGTAAGAAGTGGATTGATAAAGGGTAAAACGTAAACATGCAATTTACTGCCATTAACTCTAGGCTTTCATCGGCGCAAGAGCTACAAGAGTGAGAATGATCGGGTCTTGTGAGGGGATTCTAACTTTCGTGTCTGTGGGGGAAATCCTATGGTGTAACCATTCAAATAATACCTCCTTGGCAGTCATTTCACATGCATTATTTGTCTTTCGTGTCTGTGGAGGAAATCCTATGGTGTAACCATTCAAATAATACCTCCTTGGCAGTCATTTCACATGCATTATTTGTCTTTCGGGGGTCTACAAAATGAAATATGAAAATTTTGTTAAATTGTGATATTGGCCTCTGGGGAGTGAAAGGGTTGACGTACTTTGATGAGTGCCCCCGATAAGCGATAACCCAGTACATGCTCATCGTTAAGTAGCGGTTGAAACAAAACCTGCACATTGCAAAGGGTTAAGCCTAGAATGTCTAGAATGTTCGATTATTCAAAGATAAAAATATTTTAATCCTCTGACTTAGAAGTTAGCCCTACATCACGTAATATTATGTCTATAATCAACTTTGACTAATATACAGATTTAGCCAGGGCTAAGCGCGAAGCTCTCGATAATATTTATAGTTTGTTCAAACAAAACATAAAATCGTGTAATGCTAAGTGGCGAAGGCAACGCCGGAGAACGGTGAAAAACAACAATAGGTCTAATTAGCGAAAAAAAGCAACTTTGCACGTGCAGCACACTTTTTTTGTACATTTCTTTGCCGTTGTTTTGCACGACTACTAACAACTTTGAACTTCCAGAAACTTCTTAGGTACATGTTTTATGGAGGAAATGTCGAACGCGTTCTCATTCACTTTTTTTTCGCTGCCGCTCATTTTCACCTTGCATTGCTGACTGCTAGCATTTCTCATTTTGTCACCGCCTCTACAAAATTTTCATGTTGTTCTTCAAACAAAAAATGTCTCCTTTGTTTTTTATCTCTCGCTCTAGATCTCTGTCGCCCCTTTTCTCGTTGAGCTTCGCTGGCCTGCCGCCCTCTCTCTTTTTTTCTCTGTCTTTCTACAGCTCTATATTCCAAATTTGTGGACATAACAATTATTCCAAGCTAAATACTTTAGACAAAACGGATACAGAAACAACTTACCGCTTTCTGCTTTCGTCTTTATTGACTCTTTAGTTGTCTCTGCTTTACAAGACGCCGGTGGCTATACATCCTCGGAGACCCAGGGGCAGTCAGTTGGGTCGAGAGAAAAGGCGAGACGAAAGTTTTCAAGTAAGGGCGGAAGAGCCCCTGAGTACCCACTCTCACTGGACCATTTCCAAAGATTCAAGCAGATGCCGGCTCCTGATGGGGCACAAAAAATGCTTTGAATTATTGTGCCCAATCGGCGAACACATCTCCTGAGTTCTTTTCGTGCGTTCGTACACGACGGCTATTGTCTCAATCACGGCTTGTCTGGTTCATGCACCAAAGAAATGCACGCAGTCAGGAAACTTTCAGTTTGATAAAAAATCCCTATTTGAGCTCAAAATACTGTCTGTCCGAAAACTAAAGACGCTTTTCCAAAAATACAAGCTTCATCTAACAACATGTATTCACGCTTGCATCGGCCACGTCTTGCGTAAATATATTTAAAGACAGATACCACGACGGCTGACAGCCATGAAAACGTCGCATGGAAAAGTGAATTCATATTTTTTTCAGTCTCTATCGTGATTATTCCAACTCGCTTACTTTGTCAAATGCAATCGAACTCTTCTGGAGCTGAATTTCTACTCAATCATATCCAAGTTCATGAAGAGAATGAATTTTGTCATTGCTCGTTTACGTCCTTCACAAAACGTGAAATTAGGCATTTTCACGGGTAGTCGTGCAGTTGACGGCAAAGAAATGTACAAAAAAGCGTGATGCACGTGCAAAGTTGTTGTTCTGCCTTGTCAAGCTATTGCTTATTATTTGACTTTCTGTCGCCGCCGAATCTTAAACTTCCTATTATTTACGATACATTGTGATCCGTCAAAAACAGAATATTATCGGGGCAAATTCAATTGCTTCTGCCAATAGCATCCCAAACGTTTCTTCGACTCATCGGTAGTTCCTTCGTTTCTGGTTTAGGAAAGTAGAAAATAAAAGTTTCCCTTGCACCCACAAGCTTGATGAACGAACCGGGCAAGTGTGGCGAGACAATAGCCGTCGTGTACGAACTCACGAAAAGAATTCGGGAGAAACTGTTCGCCGATTGGGCACAATAATACAAAGCATTTTTTGTGCCCAACCAGGAGCCGGAATCCGCTTTAATTTTTGGAAATAGTTCGGTGAGAGTCGGTACCCAGGGGCTCTTTCGCCCGTACTTGAAAACTTTCGTCCTGCCTTTTCACCCGACCCGACTGACTGCCCCTAGATCTCCGAGGATGGTGCCTATGCAATTTCCTACCAAAATAACCTCGAGTTGCATTTGGGTTGCCATACCTGTTGATTGAGTTATTTTACACTGGTTTACCTGTGGTGCGGACGGACGATCGCTTGGGCGGTCGGTCGGTGTAACGTGATTACCAAATTTTCTCGGATGGGTAGATTACCTCATTTTCTTACCTATGGTGCTCCGCTGCCGCGCTTCGCGTGCGAGAGCTCCGCTATAAAGAATCCAGCAGATAAGAACAATGTTTGAACTCACTTTGATTTGTAGTGCATTTGATACACAGACTGAGTGATGCATAGCTTAGTAAAGTCGATAAACCCGCATAGCAAATTTATAAAACATTTCGCTTGTCGTCATGCAAAAACGTCTAAGTAAACGCTGAATTTAATGCTAGATCATACCTGCGTTGTACTTCATTATGCTTTTTGATCGATACTGTCCAAATGAAATCCCGAAAGAAACTTGAACAGACATCCTCGGCCTCGCTCTAAAGCATGGCGCGGCCGTTTTCCTGACATGTTCGACACGTCTGGGAAGAATGATGGATAAAAAGCGACATCCTGCCAAATCGAAATTTAAACACAGCAAATAAACGTCTAAGTTCCCAGCACACCGGAGGGGTGGGTCAATGTGATGTGGAGGTCGATGAACGAGACGCTAAATATTATTCGATAAACCTCGAAAAATATTCTTGTTCCTTGGATTCCTTGCATTGATTACAGCTTCGGGATCTAGTCCATTGGAACAACCAGGGCAAATAGTTAAACTGCCCTCTAGACGACAACTTTTTTCTTAGTACTTCAGGAACTTATGAGCCCTTTCCCCCGTGCGATTTTGTATTGAAGTTTTACTCTGGACACTTTTCCTGGTTCACGCCTCTTTCACTAGTGCCAAGCCAAATCTCCTTTTAAAGTGCTCTTGCCTTCAACAATCACCACATCTCCATGGCATAAGATACGTCTTGCAGTGTGCCATTTCCGCTGCACAAAAGAGTTGGCTCATACAGTTCTGCCCCACCCCACGCTGCAATTCCTCTTCCACTATTGACTAGGCAATGAACAATTTGTCTCATAAGGATGCCACCCCAAGGGGTTGACGTGGTGGTTCGTCCCAGCAGCAAATTTTTGGGTGTTAGAACACTGATGGTTGAATTGAATCTTTCATGCCAATAGGATATTCGTTCAGTAAATTTGACACTCTTCTGCAAACTTTATGAATTTCAGATAAAGAAAGCACTGGTTACCGACCGAAAGCTGAGTGAGGCGCTTGCCCGCCTTGATTAACGATTAAACTGCTCCCTGATGCCAGAGAGTATCGGCATTGCCCAAAACCCACGTTGATTCATTCTGCGCATCTCTGGAAAGAAATTTTATCAATCTTTTCCCAGGCTTTCTTTAGCTCTCTCTCTGGCGTGTACCCACAATTTAAGACCCTGCCACCCGAAGATACATGCAAATCTGCTGACAGTCATCAGAGAATTGCTTGTGTCATATCAAAACACTTGCTACCTCTATAACCAAAGCCCTCATTGCCAGGTCTGTTAATATGGCACCATATGCGTTTCCACTGGTGCGTTTTTGGGCTTTAAAATACGGGCCAAACAAAACCGAGCATGGCATGGTTAATTCAGGGGCAAGTTTCAGTCTTGCTTCGGTTAGAAATTCCACTTGCTGCTCCAGGAAGTTTGCGTTGGGTTAGTTTTTCTGGTTTTTGCACAACTGAAAGCTCATTTCACCGAACTTGCTAGTTTGGTTTCATGTGGCACCCAGTAGCGAATTCTAAATCGGCCAAAGGTTGCGTCACATCCCCTGTGTTGGGACTCATAGAAAACAATTATTCATGTCAACACTGGTGGTTGGGCTGGAGTAAATTCGTTTTTTTCGAGATAAGGGGAAGATATGCCCCTTTCCTTTTTTGTTGAAATTGAGAGTTCCATAAAAAACCACGCTCGATTCACTCTATTCCAGCTTACACCCAACGCTCCCTGGCTACCTATAGTTCCTTTCAACATGTTGGTATAGGCAAATTCTCTTTTTCATTGGCAATTCCTAGGGTTTCAGATTTACTTCGCTGGGATTCAATCAAATTCTCTACACAGCTGGATGTGCCACTGGCTTAAGCATAGAACCTATTATCGAATGATGTTTCGATAAGCCTTCAATCCGGGGCTATGAAATTTGTCAAGATGGCGTTTCTAACTCGCTCACCTATGTCCCAAATTCTTTGAAGAACTATGGCCAATTGTTGAGCAGTTTTTGTCTTTCCTGCTTAAAAATTTCAGACTGAAAGGTAAAATGTAAGAAACCAACATGAACTTGATTTCTTCCTGTGATGTGCACTATCGAAAAATCAATTTTATGCTGGAATTGGCTTAGCTTCTTTGTCACTGTGGAACTCTTAGCTAGGGAAATCGTGTCGTCGTATCAAATGTAACGTTCGGGGGCAGACCAGGGGTAAAACGGAGTATGTGTTCACGTACCGTATTTAGTTTGGTTAATTCACGATGACAGTTAGTAGAAAAACTGACTTCAGTTAACAGATATATTTTACTGGGCATGCTGGGTTGGTAGCCTGCGAGAGTATCAGAATTTTTTCGGCTCTAGTTTCTAGTTTCACCCGCCCAAAAAAACGTTGGGTGAAACTAGAGACTAAAGCGAAAAAACCGAATGCTACTGTAGTTGGGTTGGATGCAGGCGCAAAATCGATCTTTTGTAACTTCAAATCCTTCTCTGAATGAGAATTACCTAAAACAGCATCCATTGCTCCAAGTTGCTCACGACGTTTTTCTTTCTATACGTTTAGGTGTTTTGCCCTTCAAAACAGAGGAAATTAATTTCAGAAAGAAGATGCGTGACAATGAATTTGGTACTCCTGGGCAGCTTGGGAAGGGCCCTTTGCAGAGCTGCAGAAATTCAGCACGGTCGGAACACAGGTACAAGAATATGTTGCATCTTTGGGAGTTTCTCTTGGAACTTCTGGCTGATGAGAGCTGCAGATCTATAATATGCTGGAGAAGGAGGGAAGAAGGAGAGTTTGAGCTTTTGAACCAACAGGAGGTGGCCAAAAGATGGGGAATATTGAAACAGAGGGGTAGAATGGACTACGGGAAGCTAAGTCGGGCCTTGAGATTGTACTATCGAGATGGAATAATTACCAAGGTATTACCTTTAAAACAAAGCACTTTATTTAAGTATCAATGTATTTTACAAAGGACTATTTGAGGACACTGTTTCTACGTCTCCCTCTGGAGTTGAAACCCCCTTTTTTGACGTGGTCATTCTAGCCACGCGAAGGTCTAGCCGTTCGCTGGGCAAAGGCAGTAACTTCATTTTTCAGATATTCTTAATTAAGACACTGACGACTGGTCCAGCCCTGGTAATGAATTACACCCACGACCTTTCGCTCTGCAGTCAAGCGCGCTACCAACTGAGCTTATCCTGCTGCCGTAGCTTAATATTTCTTTTTACAACCTGATTTCAAGTTGACGGACAACAGCTGTGCCTGGACCGGAATCTTTTGAGATCTTGAATCATGTGCCAATTCACACACTTTATCCATGGAAGAAGGGCTCATGGCTCCGTTCAGTTAGACCCTTTTATGACACTTCAACGACTTGAATTTTAACAGCCAGATAAGAGATTTAGCCAGACTTTTGAGCATGTCGATGATTTTCATTGAAAGAAATGAAAGCTACCGAGAAACTGTGAGGTTACATTTATTTCACATAAATATCGAATTTTGTGTCTCTACTTTGACAAATCACAAGTGTTATTAAAAGGGACTTGACAGTTTTTTCTCATTTTCTATTCTTTTGGGCACAGGTGAAAGGCCAAAGGCTGGTCTACAAGTTTAACAACCTTCCTTACACTTATAAACCAGGAATCACAAGGCCGTTTTATCGCGATCGGTTTCCAACACCAAAATCAAGTCTTGGTGAACATGAACCACGAGAGGACAAGCCTTTGGTGCCTCAGATGCGCATAAGTTGTACAACTGCTACACAACCATTTCCCTGTTTTATTCCTTTTCAAGGAAGACTTTCGTCTTGGCCTGTACATCCTATCAATTCACCACGAGTTTGTCGCTGCGGGCACAGGCTGGAAACTTCTTTCTCGTCAGCAAACTGCTCTTCAAGAAGTCGAGTTTTCTTTCCATTTTTATCATTCTCAGTGTCACATGGTTTTAACCTTCATGAGCCTGCCTGTTCTCATGATACAAATCCGCAGTTAGATAGCAAGAAGATTCCCTTTTCGATGATTGTGAGACCTGCTTGTTAGACTAAGGAATACAAAGATTCAGCACCGGACAGCCTTCTTCGGCAGCTCTGACCCTCGATTCTGCTGGGTTAGTCTGGTCTTTGAATAGTACCTCATTTTTTCTCGGAATCGTAGAGAGAACTGAGCGTCCGCGTCCTTCCGTAAGGCTGCCTTATTATGTTCTAAGCGTTCACCTTATAATGCACCATTCAACAACACATTCTACGTGAGTTGAGATTCATTCTTTCCGCTTTCATGACAATTTTGACATTAGCATTCTTTATAAACAATCGCTTTTACTTAGACAGTTTTGTTTCAGTAAGGCGTTACAATATAAAGTCAAAGTCTTTCATTTACTCGGGGGCTCTAAATAAATAAATCTTCACCGTGCTATCGTAACTCATGATCAGTACTTCCACTCAACCAACCCCTGTCGTTTTTAGTGCGGGTTAGCATTTCTCCCCGTGATTACCACACCGCGAATTTAGCGATTACACCCGATTGAAGGCCGAAAGCTGATTGTCGGTGAAGGCATTTAATGCGTGCGTAGCGATTTTCATTTCCCTCAGTAGTGGCCATTTTTGTTGTAGTTGCGTTGAACTGCACTATGAAATGTTTTTGGGGAACACCCCAACCTGGTAAAAGTCAGTAAAGGAATCGACAGCATCCTAAAACAGTCCCATGGTGCACTTTGACGCAACACGGACTCAGTCTTTCGCCGAACGTTGAAAGGGCCAACAGGCCATTTTTAAGTTGCTCCAAGCCTCTGTTTTAAAGCGAGGCTTTACCATTGATATGGAAATGATTTCGTATTCTTATGCAAATAAAACCCACTTTCATTTTTTAGCTTCGTTTTGAAAGTGAGAGTTTTTGGAACTGGGAAATAGTATATTTTAATAATCGGTTTTAAGTTTAGATTGACTTTTGAATATAATTAGCTGTATTAAATGTCAACTAGATGTAATCAGATGACATTTTCTATGAATTTTTCTTAATAAGGATATGTTGATCTATTGTAACATAAGATTTTTTTATATTTTTTAATTTACTAAAAGAAAAAAATGACCTTAATTTATTATTAGAGTTTTAAAAAAATTTATAAATATTTACCAAACCGTTTAATCATACCACGGTTGTAATCACGTACATTAGCACCAAGGATCTTTATAACTGGCAAAGTCAGGGTAAAAAATTTGAATTCAGCCTTAATAAGAAAACGGGGCTCCACGACTGAACAATACAATGCAATTATGATGAATATTTTATACAAAAAAAATAATTCCAATGATAATAATAAGCATGAAAAGGTCACCCAAATTTGAAAATCAATGATGGATTTAACTTTTCCATCTTATTGTGCTTTATGTAATTTTGTTCGTATCACTTTAGATATGGTTGGAAAATAAAAATAGTGTTTGACTTGCACAGTAGCGGTTTTTTAAAGAAATACTCCTCTCCTTTTTTTTTAATACAAGAAGCCGCAAGTAGGAGATCTTCACTTTGCATATATCCTGCCGTACAGGAGCGTCACAAAGATTGTCGTTCAGGTTCACCCAAGGTTCTTTGACTGACGCACAGGACGTAAGAGTTAATCAACAGCGACAAAACAACAAATGACGTTATATATTCGCGCGTATTAATTTGTTACGTTTGCCGTCATTATCTCATGAAGCGTGGTAAATTCAACATTACGCTAAAAGTTTGTGGAAGTTGACCAACCATGACATTGTCAGGCTGGCATAAAAAAATTGAGACGAAACCACAAAATCCATTTTAGTATATATAGTTATTATTTTCAGTGGAGGCATCCTCGCCGTCAACTTATGAGTTTGTGCGGCGGGTTGTGAGCCGCGCGGAGTGGCAAAAGGGGGCTGCATTCGAGTCTTCAAATTCTGCTTCGATCTTTGCTAACTCATCGGCGAGCTTGAAAGGCGACACAAAAAAATTTTAATGAATTCTTCTGATAATAGGACTTTCCTGTGAGTGCTCTTTATTACGCTGTACAAGGTGAATCTAACTTTTGAGTCTGGATTTAATCCTATAATGTGACCATCCAGATGAAAGCTACTGAGAAGTACTATCCTGTGCTACTGTTAATATTATGAAGGAGTCGAAGTGGTTTTTTAAGCACTTCGACTTAAGTTAAGAGTTAAAATTTTTGAGTCTGTGGATGCAATCCTATAGTGTGATCAGAGCTACAGAGCCGAGTACTTTCCTATGGTACTGTAAATACAAGGTACAAGGTGGTTCTATGGTGAACAAGGTTTTTCAAGTTATTGACATCTCAGTCTGTGACTTGTTAAGTTGATAAGAAGTTTACACGACCTTTTTCTTTATTATGCCATGCAGTATAAGAAGTTTTTTAAGTGCTGACTAAGTATAATATTGTTCCAGCTTGTCACCATTCTGTGGCGTAGTTGTGTCCTTCTCTCACAGGAAAGTAAACTCTAGTCTTGGAACAAAGGATTGATGGGATGAAAAGCTCTACATCCAGGCATGTAAATCCTTCTGAAGATGCCCTGGGAGAAGCTGTCCAGGGCGAGGATCCCCTGGGAGGTAGACTAGAAGAGAAAAATGCTCTTGAAACTGGAGGAGAGGAATTCAACTTAAAGGGCAATAAATCTTTGATTTTTCCTAGCTCTTGGTCACAAGGACTTGTGTTTATAGTTTGAAACCGATCGCGGTAAACGGATCTTGTAATTCCTGGTTCATACTTGTAAGGGAGGTTTCGAAATTTATAAACCAGTCTTTGGCCTTTCACCTGTTTGAATAAAATAAATATATATCAAATAAATAAGTAAATAATAGGCAAGCCATCCTTTTAATGGATATCAAAGCTTCTCTTGTCATTTGTCTCACGGTATATGTACCTTTAGTAAGGAACTTATATATAACGTTCAACAATTTTTTCTGAACACAGAACAAAGACTAATAATAACAATTTGTACGGCGTGGTCTTTTAAAGCACTGGTTTGCACCTGTCCACTAAAGAAACAGTGAAACAACACACAAAAACACACTTTTAAGACAGTAATGCGTAGTACAGCATAATTGAAACTTTCAAAATAAGGCTAAGGTGGAACTGTTTGAAACAGTAGCGTTCATTTCAGTGGTCACATTTAAGGCTAACGTTAACAGAATCAAATTTATAAACACCTTGTACAGCATAAAAACAGCATCACAGAAAAGCACTGCTCAGTAGCTTTCATTTGATTGGTAACACTTAAGGGTATCATTCACAGACAAAAAAGTTAGAACTGCCTTGTACAGCTAAACAACTCAACAGAGAGGAAAAGTAGAAAAAACTACTAAAACCATTCATTTGGATTTTAATCCCATAGGATTTTATCTACAAACTCTCGTTCCTTGACGGCATAATAAACAGCTTCAGAGAAGAGTCCTACTCTGTATTTATTTCAGTTCATCTGAATGGTTACAATTTTTCTGTGGTAGATGATTGAACGTGCATTGTTCTAACCAATAGCGGTGCGGCGGTCTTTGTCAAATCCAGCATGATCCATTGATTAAAAAATTTTAATCAATTTTGTTTATTTTTGCTACAGTGGCGTTGACGACAAAAAGAAAGGAACGCACGTTAGCTAGGAGCATAGCCCTTCAAGATGTATCAAAACGCTATTAGAATATCAAAGATTACCTTGGTGATAATTCCTTCGCGATAGTACAATCTCAAGGCTCGACTTAGCTTCCCGTAGTCCATTCCACCCCTCTGTTTGAACATTCCCCATCTTTTTGCTACTTCGTGCTGATTCAAGAGCTGAAACTCTCCTTCCTCCTCCCTTCTCCAGCATATAATGGACTTGCACCTCTCATCAGCTAGAAGCTCTAACAAAAACTCCCAGAGATGAAGCATATTCTTATATTTGTGTCGTGGCCGCGTGGGGACCGAACAGGTCTGGACGGGGCGTGCTCCAGAGGGCTCGACGACATTGTTGCACTGTGCCTTGAGTTCCATGTCTTTCCTCAGCTTAAAACCAACTATATTGTTCGCAAAGAAGCGTAAATGTGAACAAAAAAATCAAACTGCTCGTCTGATATGAATGCACAACCGACAATACATGGTCTTAAAACGTGTTTATTGTCATTGCTATGACGGTTTGCGCATGCGGGCGATCAACTGTCGCGACCGAAACATTAAAAACCTTATTTCACTAGTTCAAATTTAGGTTTATTAGCATAACCAGAGTATTTATTTACTTTCATTTTTCTTTTCAATTACCTATTACGAGGATAACGAATACTATATTCATCGATCATTTATCATTTTAATAGATATACTTATATTAGTTTATGAACAAAAAAAATGGTTTACGAACTTCTCGTGCTATGATATTGAATGTTCTTACAGTCAAATTGACCCATTGTATATCTTGTATATATTGTAATTTTTCATGCATTTTGGTCCGTAAAATAGTTTTGGGACAAATAAAGTATTCATATAATTATGAAAGTAAGAGTTCGTTTTTCTTCTTTAAATTTTTGTGTGTGTCTGTGTAGCTTCCTAAAGATAACACTTAAACTTAAACTCGCTCTTAAAGATGTATTTAATAACCACCTTTTACAAGGTTTCTGGAATGGTTGGATGGTTGTTGTTATGTCTTTGGTACGTCTTCTATATGACTTTATTCCTGATAATTTTTTTTCTGCACTTCCCACGGACTTCCTTATCACCGAATATGACGATAGTTACGTGCGATATATGAATCGCTTACTTACTGTGATCCTCTTCTCCCAACATGAAAAGTTTATCTACTCTATTTACAGGCTTAGTTTTAGTATTTTTCCTGGATAACAGGCACAAAATAGTCTTAAATGTACACATTACAGTTGCACTTGTGCGGAACGGAATCGAACTTTCAATAAAATTGTCGTTGTTTTACAACTTCCACTCTTTTATATTTATTGCAAAAACATCCGGTCCTCTGAAATTGCGTGTTCACCGGTCGTACCTTTGAACCTGAAATCATTTCCTTCAAAATAAAAAAAACCGGATACCAGAGACGACTTAAACAATCAGATAAATTACCGGTTTATTAAATGATCTATATCCTGCGATACTTTGTGAACAATCGGAGCGTGACTGAATTGACGATGGTCTACAGTTGTCTCCGATAAAGTAACTTAACGAAGGAGTGGAGTAGGAATTCATTCATTCATGAATTTGAGGGCTAATCCCAGAGATGGCAGGTAAGTTCAAACGGTTTTAAAGTTTTCAAAGGTTGCATAGTTGAATACTTGAATTTTACTGGTCTGTTTGTCTGTCCGTTGTGATTGAACAATTTTCTTCCAATTATCCTGGTTTGAAAGTCTGCACTGTATACGTCATCCTTTGGAAATATTGATCAACCATGATAAAGCCTAAATCTGGCAGAGAAAATTGAGGCTAATCACAAAATCTATTTTGGTCTATATAGTTTTTTGTTTTGCAGAACTTTTCCTACACTTCCTCCTTATTTCGTCAGTTATTTCCATTTTGAAGTTCTTAAAGGGGTTCTAGAGGATCTTGCTGTTTTCTGTCAATTCTTTGCTGACGTCATTAGTACGTAGTACACCAAATGCTTGTGTAGAGTCATCAAGAAGATATCGAAAAAACAAATAGTGCCTAGGGATTCGTTAAAAAAACCACTAATAACGTCCGTAATTCCGTTCTTCTATAGCTTTTTTAAAATAGTGCCTAGGGATTCGTTAAAAAAACCACTAATAACGTCCGTAATTATTCAGACTTTAAAAAGCTGGCTCAACTTTTTCAGTTTTCAATCACATGGCCTTTGCAACGGACGACAGGAATAGGTTTCAGTGTCTAAATATATATAGTTTTACATAACAAAACTGGACCATTAGTTTTGGAATTTTTCTTAATATAAATGCTGAAATAGTTTTCGGCTTTTAAAAAAGATAACAAATATCAAGACATTATCAATATCACCATGACATAGACCTCTTTCATAATGGCGGCCTATTAACATATTCTTTAATATGTATGGTAATTAGCCTGTCAGACTTCGTTTGAATGTATGAATTTTCTTGTATTTTGCACAAGCTAACGAGGTCAGTAAGGCTAATCATCATAGATATAAAATAATATATTAATAGGCCGTCATTATGAAAGAGGTCTATAGTCCTTTTAAAAATAGACAGCGAGCAAAATACTTTCTTTGCTTGGGTAGTGGCGCTTAATTAAGGAAGGAAAGAACGAAAGAGATCGTGATTCGCACCTATCGAGTACACTATTAGAGTTATTACTCTGGCTTAAAAAGAGGTGAGCTGATGAGCTCTATCATTAGAGCTTCTTGTAGATGTGGATGGAGGTTTTAAATTTCTAGCAAATCTAATTCTAGATATGATGACCAAAAATCATATACATTTTAGAAACAAATTGATACTACACCCTTGCATCTTTGGCGATTGTTTTTAAAGATGTTCCTTAATCAGGGGATTATTTCCTTCCAAACACAAATACCGTTTTCATTTAGTAGTATTTACGAGTTATTTTTCAGCGAGAGTTAATATGTTACCCCAGAAAAACAAAGAACGCTGAGCAGCACTTATTTACTGCTGTTTGTTATCATGCACGACGTAGGTATTCAGTATAATGTGGCTTTAGCTTTTGGAATGAAGTCATAAGTGTGACTATGCTTCTGATTGTGGGACTTTTCTGTGGTACTCTTTATAATTACGCTGTGGTTCTCACTCAGGTGGATGAAATCCTTAAGTGCGACTATTCAAATGAAAGATACTGAGCAGTGCTTTCCTGTGCTGCTGTGTATTATGAAGCAGTCCAGGTGGTCATATCTTTTGAATCTGTAAATTCCCAAAGTCCTATGGTGTGAAATGAAAGCTACTGCACCAGCAATACTTTCCTGTAGTACTGTTAATCATGATGTACAAGGTGGGTATATAGTGAACATGATTTTTCAGACCTTCAGTCCGAATTAAGCATAAGTTGATAAGAAGTTTACATGACTTTTTTTAATGTTATATGCCTTGCAGTGTATGAAATTCTTAAGTGTTGACCTTCTCTAATCTTGTCCCAGCTTGTCATCATTCTGTGGTTTTGTTGTGTCCTTCTCGCACAGGAAAGTAAATTCTAGTCTTGGAACAAAAGATTGATGAGAAGAAAAGCTCTACATCCAGGCACGTACATCCTTCTGAAGAAGCCCTGAAAGAAGCTGTCCAGGGCGAGGATCCCCTGGGAGGAAGGCCAGAAGAGAAAAATGCTTTTGAACCTGGAGGAGAGGAATTCAACTCTATCAAGGGCAATAAGTCTTTGATTATTGTTGGCTCTTGGTCACAAAGACTTGTGTTTATAGTTTGAAATCGATCGTGGTAAGCAGACCTTGTAATTCCTGGTTCATACTTGTAAGGAAGGTTTCGAAATTTATAAACCAGTCTTTGGCCTTTCACCTGTGTGAATATAACATTTATATATCAAATAAATAAGTAATAATAAGCATCCTCTAATGGACATCAAAGCTTGTCTTGTCATTTGTTTCACTGTATATGCGCCTTTAGATAGGGACTCATATAGAACGTTCCAAAATTTTTCTAAACACAGAACAAAGACTAATAATTACATGAGAGTGGTCTTTTTAAGCACTGGTTTGTACCACTAAAGAAACGGTGAAAGAAGACAGCTAACACACTTTAAAAACAGTAATGCATTATTAGTGTAGCATATGCATAGTGAATAAACAGTTCCACTTTAGCCTTATTTTGAATGGGCTATGACACTTCTTAAGATTTCATCAACAGACTCAAATGATTGAACTTCCTTGTTCAACAAGCTAGACAGTACCACAGGAAGGTACTGCTCTCTTGCTGTACTGCTCTCTAGGTTTCATTTGAATGTCACATTAAAGGGTAACGTCCAAAGAATCAAATTTATAAAGACCTTGTACAACATAATAAACATCACCACAGAAAAGCACTGTTCAGTAGCTTTCCTTTGATTGCTAACAGTTTAAGATTTTTTTCACAGACACAAAAGTTAGAACATACTATCTTATGCAGCTAAAAAACCCCAAAAGAGAGGAGATGCAGAAACAGCTACTCATAAGGCCCCTCATTTGAATTTTAATCCTATAGGATTTCATCTACAAACTCAAACGTTACAGCCGCTCTTGACAGCATAATAAACAGCCTCACATGAAAGAGCTGCTTAGTATTTATTTAGTTTTCATATGAATAATCACAATTTACATCCACCGACTCAAAAGTTAGAGCTCCCTTGTGAAGCACGCTAGTCAGCACTTCACATACAGGAAAGCACTGCACAGTAAGTTTTAATGAAATTCTTACACTCTAGTTCTTCACTTACAGACTCAAAAGTCAGAACCACCCAGTAAAGCATAATAACATTGCCTCAAGTGGAAAAACTACAAATTGCCATAACTTGAATGTAATTCTTTAGGATATTCCATCCACAGACAATTACATGCATCCCCTTCATTATATTTTGTAGCATAATCAACATGCAGTACCAGAAAACAACAGCTAATTATACCATTCACTTTGATATTCGAATTGATATTAAAAAACTCAGTACCACTTTCAACATCTCTTTTTATATTCTACTGAAATAGTCGAATTCTAGGATTCTGATGCATCATTTCAGAATGCTATCACCCAAAACTCACAAACAAAGCCACGGACTCCTTGTTAGGTTCTTTATCATAAAATTCATCTTAGTTTTTAACACCGGCGATAAAGTACATGTATTATTTTTGACCGATATCATTTTTATTACCATGTTCATGATCAGGCTTATTAAACATAAACAATATCCAGCATGGAGAAAAAATGTTGAAAGGTGACGCACACGCAGTAAAATTTCGTTTATATTTGACTCATAAACAATGACTCTATTGCGCTCCGAGATTCCTGACTTCTTCGCAATACAAGATCTCTTGGTGGAGACTAAATTTCACAAATCTCCTTAAGGTAAAATCTTTTTTGTCTGTTTGGTACGATACTATAAAAACAACAGTTAACTCATACCCGAACGACTATCCTAACGGTTTCTTGAGGTTCACGCTTGGTTGAAAGGCAAGTTCATTTTAAAGCTCAACCAGTCCCTGATAACGCAGGCAGATTTTTAGTTACAAAGCGTTTATAGCTGCTTCTCCTCATTTTAAAACTTTTTTTTCGAAAATATATCTACCGTCAATGAGATTAGACGCAGTCCATTGTAGTTGTTAGACAATACAGCCTGTTTTAAGAGAATAACAAACACGTCTAGCAGATGGTTATTAGACGACTGTTGATCACGAGAGCAATAAAATTATATACCTTTCAATTGCACCGTCGGGATGAGGTAGCTTAAACCTTCTATATTTATATGAGGGTTTTTTATAAACGAATTTTCTCGGGTAGATGACTGAACTTGCATTGTTCTAACCAATAGTTGCGTGGCGGTCTTTGTCAGATCCAGCATGACCCATTGATTAAAATTTTTAATCAATTTTGTTTATTTTTGCTACAGTGGCGCTGACGACAAAAAGAGAGAAACGCACGCTAGCTAGGTGCATAGCCCTTCAAAATGTCTTAAAACGCTATTAGAATGTCAAACATTACCTTGGTGATAATTCCTTCTCGATAGTACAATCTTAAGGCTCGACTTAATTTCCCGTAGTCCATTCCACCCCTCTGTTTGAACATTCCCCATCTTTTTGCTACTTCGTGCTGATTCAAGAGCTGAAACTCTCCTTCCGCCTCCCTTCTCCAGCATATAATGGACTTGCACCTCTCATCAGCTAGAAGCTCTAACAAAAACTTCCAGAGATGAAGCATATTTTTATATTTGTGTTGGGACCGCGTGGGGTCCGAACAGGTCTGGACGGGGCGTGCTCCAGAGGGCTCGACATTGTTGCAGTTCGCATTGAGTTCCATGTCTTTCCTCAGCTTAAAAGCAACTATATTGTTCGGAAAGAAGCGTACATGTGAACAAAAATCAAACTTCTCGCCTGATTTATGTATGCACTGCGGACAATACACGGTCGTAAAACGTGTTTATTGTCATTGGTATGACGGTTTGCGCATGCGAGCAGTCAACTGACGCGACCGAAACATTGAAAACATTATTTCACTAGTACAAAGCTGGGTTTATTAGCATAACCAGAGTATTTATTTACTTTCATTTTTCTTATCAATTACCTATTACGAGGATAACGAATATTATATTCATCGATCATTTATCATCTTAAAAGATTTGCTTATATTAATTTATCAACAACAAAAAAAAAAGATAGGTTTACCAACTTCTCTCATTGAATGTTTTGTAGTTAATTTCATCCACTGTAAATCTCAGTTATTCTTCATGCATTTTACTCTATAAAATAGTTGGGGCAAATAAAGTATGCATATAATTATGAAAGTGTTCGTTTTTCTTCTTTTATTTTTTTAACGTGTGTTTCTGGGTGGCTTCCTGAAGAAACTCTTAAACTCGCTCTTAAAAATGTATTTAATAAGCCCCTTTTTCAAGGTTTCTGGAAGGGATGGATGGTTTTATTGTGTCTTTGGTACGTCTTCTATATGATTTTGTTCCTGAAAATTATTTTCTGCACTTCCTAATTACCGGATATGACGATAGTTTACGTGCGATATATGAATCGCTCACTTACCGTGATCCTCTTCCGCCAAAATGAAAAGTTTATCTACTCTGTTTACAGGCTTAGTTTTAGTATTTTCCCTGCATGGCAGGCACAAAATAATCTTAAATGTGCACAGCACAGTTGCATTTGTGCGGAACGGAATCGAACACTCCAGCAAATTGTCGTTGTTTTACAACTTCCACTCTTTTGTATTTATTCCAAAACATCCGGTCTTTTGAAAATGCGTGATTACCGGTCGTACCTTTAAACCTGAAATCATTAACTACACAATTAAAAACCGGACACCAGAGGCGACTTAAACAATCAGATATATTACCGGTTTATTAAATGATCTATATCCTGCGATACTTTGTAAACAGTCGGAGTGTGACTGAGTTGACGATGGCCTACAGTTGTCTCCGATAAAGTAACGAAGGAGTGGAGTAGGAACTCATTCATTCATGAATTTGAGGACTATTTCCAGAGAGGTCAGGTAAGTTCTGTGTAAGTTCAAACGGTTTTAAAGTTTTGGGACTTGCGCAGTGCACCTCGTGGAGGTAGGACGTGTTTTTGTGAGCTCCACCAAATATGCTGTTCTAAACGCTTTAATAACGTACCTGTCATGGAAACCTACAAATAGATATAACCAGAAATGGGGAAGGACAAAGCGGACAAGAATCCGAGCAAAAGGCTGAGAGAAAATGGCTCGCAAACGGATGAAGATGATGAACATGTGGGGGTCGGTGGAGTAATGTCAGCACGCCTCGAGGAAATGAACACTAAACTAGATCAAGTTTTAACAGCGTGTGGTGAAATTGCACTACTAAAAGATGAAATACGCAAGCTGAGAGATGAAGTAAAGAATTTAAAACAATCTTTGCAATCTGCTGAGGAAGAAATTGAAAGTCTACAAGAAAGTCAGAAAGAAACTTCTGCACAAGTAAAAGAAAACAATGAAGACATTGACTTCTTGTTCGAGGACATTGGAGCGCTAAGACGCAGAAACATCAAGTTGGAAGCCTATACAAGACGTGAGAATGTAAGAATTTTCAATGTCGAGGAAGAAGAGGATGAAAATACTGAAGAGCTGGTAAGAAGTGTCTTCGTCGCTAATTTGAAAATTCCGGCGGATAAAGTCAACGATATCCGCTTTGAGCGAGTTCACCGAATCTCCACTAATAATTCTAGTCTAAGAGCTCCGTCCTATCCCAAACCAATTATTGCTCGTTTCAGTCATTATCAGGACAAAGAATATGTTCGCTCCTTCTATAAGAACTTAAAAGGAACCAAAGGTTGCATAGTTGAATACTTGATTTTACTGGTTCGTTTGTCTGTCCGTTGTGATTGAACAATTTTCTTCCAATTATCTCGGTTGAGAGTCTGCACTGCATACGTCATCCTTTGGAAAAATTGATCAACCATGATATAGTCTAGGTCTGGCAGAGAAATCGAGGCTAACCACAAAATCTATTTTGGTCTATATAGTTATTTTCTTTAGAAGACTTCCTAGAATTTCTACACGCCTTTCTTTTTTTGTCAGTTATTTCCATATTGAATTTCTTAAAGGAGTTCTGTCAAGAGGATTTTGCTCTTTTTTGTCAATTCTGTGCTGACGTTATTAGTACGTAGTACCTTAACCCGTACACCAAATGCTTCTGTAGAGTCACCAAGAAGATATCGAGCAAATTTTATCACAGAACCCTAAGCAATTTTTTTGGTGATTACTGCAGGCATAGCATTCAAACTTTAAAAAATCGGCCCAACTTTTTCAATTTTCAATCCAAAGGGCAGGAATAAGTTTCGATGCTTAAATATATATAGTCTTACACAACAAAACTGGACCATTAGTTTTGGAATTTTTTTTAATATATAGATGTAGAAATAGTTTTCGGCTTTATAAAAAGATAACAAAGAGCATGACATCATCATCAACACCATGTTATAGACCTCTTTATAACATAGCTAGAAAATTCGCCTAATCATTCGCCATTATGAAAGAGGTCTATAGCCCCTTAAAAATAGACAGCGAGCAAAATACTCTCTTTGCTTGGGGAGTGGGGCTTAGTTGAGGAAGGAAAGAACGAAAGAGATTCGCACCTATCGAGTACAGAGAGCTAGTCTTACTCTACCTTATCAAGAGGTGAGGTGATGGTCTCTAGATTATATTACAGCGTCTTGTGGATGTGAGTGGAGGTTTTAAATTTCTAGCAAATCTAATTCTGGATAGGATGACCAAGACTCATGTAAAGTTTACATGAATACTACACCCTTGCATCTTTGGCGATTGTGTTGAAACATGTTCCTTCATCAGTGGATTATTTCCTTCCAGACACAAATACCTTTCTCATTTGCAAAACCTAAAAGGAACAATGATACTATTGAAGAGTAATTTTTCATTGAGAGTTAATAACATGTTGAGCCAGAAAAACAAAAAACGCTGAGCAGCGCTTATTTAGTGCTGTTTGTTATCATGCACGACGTAGGTATTCAGTATAATGTGGTTCTAGTTTTCGGGTTCGTGAATGAAATTATTAATGTGCTCATGTTGGACTTTTCTGTGGTACTGTTTAATTACGCTGTGGTTCTGTAAATGAAATCCTAAAGTGTGACCATTCAAATGAAAGATACTGAGCAGTGCTTTCCTGTGTTACTGTGTATTATGAAGCAGTCGAGGTAGTTCTTTCTTTTCAATCTGTGAATTCCCAAAGTCCTATAGCGTGAAATGAAAGCTACTGCACCAGCAATACTTTCCAGTAGTACTGTTAATCATGATGTACAAAGTGGGTGTATAGTGAACATGATTTTTCAGACCTTCAGTCCAAATTAAGCATAAGTTAATAAGAAGTTTACATGACTTTTTTTTTATGTTATATGCCTTGCAGTGTATGAACTTCTTAAGTGCTGACTGACTCTAATTTTGTCCCAGCTTGTCACCATTCTGTGGTTTTGCTGTGTCCTTCTCTCATAGGAAAGTAAATTCTAGTCTTGGAACAAAAGATTGATGAGAGGGAAAGCTCTACATCCAGGCACGTACATCCTTCTGAAGAAGCCCTGAAAGAAGCTGTCCAGGGCGAGGATCCCCTGGGAGGAAGGCCAGAAGAGAAAAATGCTTTTGAACCTGGAGGAGAGGAATTCAACTCTNCCCTGAAAGAAGCTGTCCAGGGCGAGGATCCCCTGGGAGGAAGGCCAGAAGAGAAAAATGCTTTTGAACCTGGAGGAGAGGAATTCAACTCTATCAAGGGCAATAAGTCTTTGATTATTGTTGGCTCTTGGTCACAAAGACTTGTGTTTATAGTTTGAAATCGATCGCGGTAAACAGATCTTGTAATTCCTGGTTCATACTTGTAAGGAAGGTTCCGAAATTGATATACCAGTCTTTGGCCTTTCACCTGTGTGAATATAATAAATAAATATCAAATAAATAAGTAAATAATAAGCATCCTCTAATGGACGTCAAAGCTTGTCTTGTCATTTGTTTCACTGTATATGCGCCTTCAGATAGGGACTAACATATATAACGTTAAAAAATATTTCTTAACACGGAACAAAGACTAATAATTACTTTTTGTACGGCGTAGTCTTTTAAGCACTGGTTTGTACCACTAACAAAACGTTGAAAGGAGACGGCTAAGACACTAAAGGCACCAAAGGCAGTAATACATAGTACAGCATAATAAATAAACGGTTCCACGTTAGCCTTACGGTATTTTGAAGTAATATATCAAACATGAGACGCAGTGTTTCATCTGGTGATGAAACACTGTGTCGAATGTTTGATATTTCTTCTCAAACAAAATCATTTTTGAAGGAGAAATTAAGGATGCAAAAATGAGCAGTGTTTCATCCGATGTCCAAACACTCATTAAACATTAATTTCCTTTGAATTTTCTTTATGAATTATTAATGAGTTTGAGAAGGGGCTTTTCATCAACAGACTAAAAGATTGAATCACGTTCTTTTGCAGGTTAGACAGTAACAGAGGAAAGCACTGCTCTGTAGCTTTCATTTGAAGGTCACATTAAAGGGTAACATCCACAGAATCAAATTTATAAACACCCATGATACAGCATAGTAAACAGCACCACAGAAAAGCACTGCTCAGTAGCTTTCATTTGACTTGTAACACTTAAGGATTTCATTCACAGACACAAAAGTTAGAATTGAAATATCTTGTACAGCTAAACAACTCAACAGAAAGGAGAAGTAGAAACAACTACTAAAACCATTCACGGATTTTACTCAAATGGGATTTCATCTACAACTGAACTCTTTTTCACTGAGGGCATAGTAAAGCACTTTACAGAAAAACTGCTGCTCAGTATTTATTTAGCTTTCATTTGAATGGTCACAATTTAAGATAACATCCAACGACTCAAGAGTTAGAACCCCTTGTGTGGCATAGTAATCAGTGTATTACACAGAAAAGTACTGCACAGTAGCTTTAATGAAATTGCCACACTCAAGTTTTTCATTCACAGTCTCAAAAGTCAGAACCACTCTGTAAAGCATAGTAACAGACCCTCAAGAGGAAAACCTACCAATAACCATAATTTTAATTCTTCAGGATTTCATCCAGAGGCTCAAAAGTTACAGCCCTTTCGTTTTATTGTATGGGATAATCAACAGTACCATAGGAAGGAAAGCTAATTATACCATTCCCTTGAAATTCACCCTTCCAGGTTTGATTTTAGTTAATACTTGAACGTTAACAACCTTGAAACTCAGTACCACTTTGAACACCTCTATTTAAATTCTACTGAAATAGTCAAACTCTAGGATTCTGATGCATCATTTCAGAATGCTATCACCCAAAACTCACAAACAAAGCCACGGACTCCTCGTTACGTACATCATACAAATTCATCATTTTTTTAACACTGGCGATGAAGAACATATATTATTTTTTATCGATATCATTTATGTTACCATGTTCATGATCAGACTTATTTAAACAAAAACAATACCCAGCATGGAGAAAAAATGTTTAAAGGTGACGCATTCACTGCCGGCGTAAAACTCCGTTTATATTTTATTCATAAACAATGACTCTATTGCGTTCTGTGATTCCTGACTTCTTCGCAATACAAGATCCCTTTTTGGAGACTAAATTTCACAAATCTTCTCTAGGTAATTTTTTTTTTCTGTTAGGTACGATACTTTAAAAACAACAGTTAACTCATACCCGAACGACTATCCTAACGGTTTCTTGAGGTTCACGCCTGGTTGAAAGGCACGTTCATTTTCAAGCTGAGCTCCCTGATCCGGCAGTCAGATTTTTTTAAAAAGCGTTTGTAGCTGCTTCTATTTCTCATTTTGAAATAAACCCAATATCCCTTTTCAGAAAATATGTACCGTCAATGAGATTAGACCCAGTCGATCAGACAAGACAGCCTGTTTTAAGGGAAATTACAAAGAGGTCTAGCAGATGGTTATTGGACGACTGTTGATCATGGCAGCTATAAAATTGTACATCTTTTAATTGGCCGTCCGTACGAGGTAGCTTAAACCTTCTATATTTCAAGTGCTAACATTTATATGAGGCTGTTTTATACAATTTCTCTGTGGTAGATGATTGAACTTGCATTGTTCTGTCCAATAGTCGGCGGTCCGTGATCCATTGATTAAAAATTTTTAATCAATTTTTGTTTATTTTTGCTACAGTGTCTTTTACGACAGAAAGAGGGAAACGCGCGCTAGCTAGGAGCATAGCCCTTCAAAATATCTCAAAACACTATTACAATATCAAAGATTACCTTGGTGATAATTCCTTCTCGATAGTACAATCTTAAGGCTCGACTTAGCTTCCCGTAGTCCATTCCACCCCTCTGTTTGAACATTCCCCATCTTTTTGCTACTTCGTGGTGATTCAAGAACTGAAACTCTCCTTCCTCTTCTCTTCTCCAGCATATAATGGACTTGCACCTCTCATCAGCTAGAAGCTCTAACAAAAACTCCCAGAGATGAAGCATATTCTTATATTTGTGTTGTGGCCGCGTGGGGACCGAACAGGTCTGGACGGGGCGTGCTCCAGAGGGCTCGACATTGTCGCAGTTCGCATTGAGTTCCATGTCCTTCCTCAGCTTAAAATCAACTTTACATATAGTGTTCGAAGAGAAGCGTAAATGTGAAGAAAGACCAAACTGCTGATGTGAAGATACCACCGACAATACAAACACGGTCTTAAAACGTGCTTAGGTTCATTGCTATGCTTGTTTTGCGCCTGCGAGCACTCAGCTGACACGACCAAAAATGTTCAAACAAAGTAAACTCATTAATTTGATGTATGATATTGAAAGTCACTTGACTGGCCAAACGGAACCGATTTGACCCCAAAGTATGCCCATAACACAGAAATATCAAACTTATCATCTTTTTGTAATATGGCTGTTCTCTGCTAGGAGAATCGGTGATTGAATTAAACTATTGTCACCTGGTAACATTTGAAGTAGATCGTCACGCATCAACGTTATTTTTTAACTTTGTGACTTCCTGACGAAATATGCAACATAGCTGTCCCCTGCCAGAATTGGTGAAATAATATTAGTACAGACATATTAACACGTGAGGTTGAATGGACTATGACCTCACCACCAACTTAATGTTTTAATTTCGAGGGTTCCTGACGAAAAAATGTACTTCATAACGGCCTTTTTCAAGGTGCCTGGATGAGCTGGATAAATTTTATTTTGTTTATTTTTTGTAGGTGGGTGATATAATTTTATTGACGATATTTTTCGTAAGAGATTCTCATTCTTTTACTGTATCACCTATGTTCACACTACATACTGGATACCTTTTCGTGCCGACAGTAAAAGCCATCTGGTTTAGTACTCAGATAAACACCTATCCGATATGTGACTATGTACTTTAGAGATCGGCGATGCGCAGCTTTGCTCGGTTGCAGAAATCGCGCCTAAATCACCGTTCTTATGTGTAAATAGAAGTGTGGACACAGCCTTGATCACCGACACTGAAAAGAGAGATATTGTACCTTCTTGTCACCGAACGTGCCTTAAACACATCTCACGTGACACATGTAAATCGCTCACTAACCGTTATAACTTTCTCCTTGAGAGTAAGGTAAAAATTAGATTCTCTGTTTTTATAGTGATTTTCTCTAAATCGCCAAAAACAAAGTGATCTTACACGTGCACCCAACAGCTGCGCTTGTGCGGAACAGAACATTCCATTGAATTGTCGTTATTTTACAACTTCCACTCTATTGTAAGTCGTTAAAAAAACATCCGGTCGCTTCGAGTTAGGTCGTATAATTGAATCTAGAAATTATGAGCTAAAAAATTAAAAACCGGACAACACAGGTGATATAATCGGAATGATACTGATGGGTTTAATGATTGATACATCCTGCGAAATTTCAGAAACTCGGTGTCAGTGAACAGACGCTGGCCTATTGTCAGGAATGGAGTAGGAGCAATCCGGATGAGGGGGGTAGGGGTTGGGCGACGGGAGGGGGATGGGGTGTATTGTCCTGTGTTCTCTAAGAAAAGAAATTTGTTTTGGAAGCGGTAGATAGGGTTTAGTGTGCGCTACGATCATCATTATTAACACCTTAATCATAACTTCAGAATAGCTCATACGATAGTTTCCTTGTAGAAATAAATTTGCAAATAAATAAATGACAATATAATAAGAGAAAGAATCTGGCGACGAGATTATTATGGGAAGGAGTATCATTTTCTGATAACTGGTCAGTTAAACGAATTTATTGTGCAATTGAAATTTGAAAATGACTTTAATGGATGTAAGGGGATATATATTCGCAAGTTAATAGGCTGCTTAAGTTCAAAAGAAACAAATTGTTCTCATGCTGCGGTGTGGGAAATGAAACACAATGGAATCAGTTTAAAGCTGACCGACGTTTTGAGTGTTATCCTTACGTCTAAACGAATCTTTCAGGTTTCAGAACTTCTGAGGAAATACCGTACTTTTGAGTACTTAAATCGGAATATTTTTTAATAACCGACGAATCACGTGGGCGCCGGGGTGTGAACCGCTAGTGTGTGTGTGTGGGGGGGGGGGGGGGGGGGGGTGCGGGGGTAACACGCATGAGGAGGCGGTGAGTTTTGTGGTTGTTTTTTGTTTGTTTTTTGGGGGGTTTGTTCTTTTTTACTTTGCTTTTTTTTTTTTTACTTGTCTTGTGTGAGAAAAAATACAGTAGAGATTAATTTTAACACGGTGTGTGTTTTTTTGGTTTATGTTTATACGAATATCTTTTTTGTGTGAATGAGAGATAGAGAAAAAACAAGTTGTTCGTAAGTATAGTAAAGTATATTTTTTTTAACAGCCGAGGGGGGGGGGGGGGGGGGGGGGGGGACGGGTGTGTGTGTGGGGGGGGGGGGGGGGGGGGGGGGGTCTAGCGGCATACTAACTCAGAAATGTTTGAAATTTTGATGCTCGTTGTTCTTGTGTTCTGAGGGCGATTTCGTTCTACAATGTTCGCTTATTTTTATGCCTATTACTATTTGCGTGTTCCACATACAAGTACTCGATTTTGTTTTATATTGCAGGCGGTATATTTAAGTTTTCTGGGTGTCATTTTCAGTTAAGTTAACTCTGTTAGGTGTACTAGATTTTATCCTAAGAATTTATTTGAACATATAAAGACAGACGTCAAAATCGGGATTTTTCCTATCCCAATCGCATATTCGTCAGGATTCGGGATTTCCAAGCAAAATCTTGAGAATCCCGACGAGATCGGGATGGTTCATCAGTGATGTATAATGAGATTCGGTTTTTGATACGTAACAGAACCTTAAGGTTATTACGTATTACCACTGAGAAAAGATTGCATATGAATGTAATGTGCGGAAGAGTTCTGGAATTTGCTGTAGTTGTTATTAAATGTCTGCTCCAGAAAGGATGAACAACCGTTTTGGTCAGTTTTTTTAAAGGAAAAGTATAGTATAACTCCACCTCCTCTCCCCTCATTCACTCCCACCAAAAAAACCAGTGTCACCCCCCACCCCACCGAAAAAAAAGCAGCGTACCCTTTGAGACCAATAGCCCGTGCATGTTCAAGAGCCAACTTCCTGTTTCCTATCATGGATGGCACGTCCAACGTTCATCTCGACAAAACAAATTAAACAGTTGACTTCTCGTAATGACGTCTGAAGTTGATTTCGCCTCGTAAACTAGCAAGGCTCATTAAACCTGATTGTATCAATACATCTACTTTGGTTCTTAGTTCTAATTTGGGACTCATCTAAAATAATGTGGGCTCTTACTAATTTAAACAATTTTCATGCATTAATCTAACCCAGTTAACTTTTTAAGGTAAAAAGGGCTGGCCTCTAGCCCTCCCCTAGATATAAATGTAACATTTCGTTGTTATAAGTTCATAAGACTCGAAAGATTACCTCTTAAAAAAAACGGCTTTTTTAACCTGTACATTTCTAGAACACGTCACGGCGAGATGATTTGACACACTTTGAACTTATTCATCAAATTATACGGAGTTACCACAAAACCTCTTTAACAGGTTTTGCACATTATTATAATTTTCTTAGGAATTTAGAAAACGAAATTTGGATTTTTTGTGACTTCAGTGAAGTTTAACTGTGTATGCTTTGAATCCACGAAAATCTTTGGGAGACTATAATTATTCCTAGAGCAAAATTTTCGTGTTTAAAATGTTATTTTAAGCCATAATTAACCTTTGACTGTATATTTTTAATATTTTGTTCCAACACTGGACGTCAGTCTGGAAGTCGACCGAGGGCGATTGGTTGAGAGTTATTTAGGTCTTTCCAGATGATTAGTCAAGGGCTTATGACTTCCTAACCGCGGATATAAAAATTCAATTCGACAGTCCAAGTAAATACTAAGATGTACACTGGTGTGCAGGAAAAGCAAACTTTAGTGCAAAACACCACTGCAAGAACTTAACAAAATTATTTGAAGAGGTAAGGCGAACTGAACAAAGTTGCGAGAAAAAGTTATATAATATAAATATATATATATATATATTCTTAAATACCGTTTAATTGCTTTCACTTATATATTGGGGTTTTCTAGCACAAATTTATGGAATGCAAAGTCCAATTAACTCTGAAAGTGAATTTCATCCGGGCGTAGCAGCATTAGGTTCACTCGCCACAAGCAACACAAATTGGAGAAGACCAAGAGAGGATATCGGTTTCGTTCTATTTTCTCTGAAAAGGTCTTACTTTTTCTGGCTGCATAAGTTTTGTAACCACAAAAAGAGGAAAGATATACAGCCATAAGAACTGCAATGAGTACCCAAAAGCAATACTCCGATGATTATTAGTGTTTCAACTTTCCCAAGATTAAACTGACCAACAGCGTGTTACTGAAGACCTGTTGATTTAAGTTTTAGACTTTTATTAAAACCATGTATAAATTTCAATGTCTTTTTTTCAGTGAAATTCAAGAGCCAATGGACGAAACGTCAGAGCAGACTAATCTGCAATTACGACGAGCAACTGAACATGGCAGAAGACCAGGTTACAGAAAGCAGCCGCGTTTCAAGAACATCATTCATCTTTGGGAATTTCTGCTTGATCTTTTAGAGGACGACGACTGCCGTTCTTTGATATGTTGGAGCAACAAAGAACGTAAAGAATTTCAGCTGAAGAACCCTGAAGAGATAGCCAAACGGTGGGGTGCGGTAAAAAGAAGACCAGGAATGAATCACGAGAAGATGACTCGGTCGTTGAGATTTTACTATGCTCAAGGGATTATCCAAAAGGTATTGCATTTATGTCACTAGTAGAGCTTCATATGCTTGTTGTAGATATAACAGTTACTGCTTATTGCCAAATGTTCATGAAGCGAGCATTACAATTACATCAATCAATATTTTAGCTGTTCCGCTTAAAAGACGTTAAATTCTCGCCGAGAGTTTTATTCGAACTTAACATGCATTGCCTGCGAGTGGATGAAGCATATGTTTAAGAGAATCAGGAGATTCAGCACTCGGCAGCAGCTATTTTTGATAAACTCCCTGTAGCTATTAGAAACATAACTGAGTACAATTCCTTCTGAGGCACCTTTATGTAAGGAATCTTAAAAAACAAACCCAACTGTA